TGACTCCTCATCACATCCACATCGGTACCATACTGACACCCCACACCTCTCCAAAGTGTGCACAGTTCCTAAGTCATTTCAATGCACTTTTATGACTCAAAGAAGAGTCTTCATCTATAAGTTACTTTTTTGAGCTCTCCTAGCTGTGCCGTTGAGGAACTAGAGTAAGCACACTTGTAGTTGTTTTGTTTGGAACACAACCCTGCATCCCCGCCATCACACAATTACTGTTATTGTTTACGCAATCCAAAAACGGCCCATTATAAATTACAAAATGGGTCAGGTAGGCATCATTTGAAAGACTGGTCTATTACCAACATGACTAGCTAAGTTATAAAATACGATCTGACAGTATTAGGCTTTCACAGGGCAATTCAGAGAAACAGATTGTAATTTTGGTGCACATAGAAAGTCATGCGTGCATTCAGGTGCGTGTTCCGCGGCAAATATTCTTCACAATAGACAAACATAGGCTCATTCTGTTCAGAAAAACCCATAGAAGGGTATGACGCCATGTAATCTTGTAACTGTACATCAAACATTGTGATCATAAATGTTGACACTGTATATGACATGAGTTTTATGATATGGAAATGTGAAGTGCACATTTGGACTCTCGGGTGTTTGGCTTGCTTGTATGACATCAAAGCGGACGGGGGCAACTTCTTGTCGTGTGCGGTTCTCAAGTTCAGAACAGTTGTCAGTCAAAACCCATACAGCGCTGTGAAGTGCAGAGCCTGAGCTCTGACGTCATGTATAGCATGTTACTGTACAGCCACTGCGTTCCAATTTAGGCGCTTATCAGTGCCCAAATCTGCAATTCTCAACCCGTATTCGGGTAGGAGTGTAAAGGGTTAACGACACCCCCACCCCCATGTCCTCTTGTCATGGTGGGGGATCATGTCCTGGGCTAGTGCATTGAGACAGAAAGAAAACGGAATCACCCCCGTGGGATCTGTCCCTCCACTGTTTCCCCCCTTTTTCCCTTCCCCCCTTTCCTCAATCCCCCCTCCCCCGCTCTTTCCCCCCCCCCCTCCCTGGAAAAAACCCCCCCCCCCCCCTTTTTTGGGGG